AACTACTAATAACACAAAAGTTTTTGCATTAAATTGCTATGGTATGATGTGTTCATTATTATATGACAAAAGACAAAAAAAGTGAAAATGACTAATATGCGACGATGGCCGACTGAACGTTCTTGTTCTTTTTCAGCAGTCCATGGTTGCTTGGCAACAATAACATACTCTGAAGGGATTACATTTCTTGGCAGAATAATTGTTATTGATAAGTTATTTAATGAGCATTGTGTATTTTATCATATTTTCTGATTGCTGTTTTATAAAAACAATAAACCACTTGAGGCCCTGCGTTGCCGGGTTTTCTGATTTTATCATTTATAGGCTATAAGGTGACAACGATACTTATTTTTGTCAGTGATTTCTTTGATGTCTTCTTTGAAAGTGAAGATTTATTTTAATCACAAGTGAAAAATGTGTTTGAACTCTGAAACAATTTGGTAGAATGATCCATATCTCTCCATATTAAGCAATAAATAAAGGAATTTTTTTCCATACAAGGATTTAAAAGTCAAATCAGGAGCAGAACTAGGCCGAGTTCAGTATTTTTACCCAAGGCTTTCAAGCACAATTTCCCCGTTGTTTTATTTTCTTCCTGGTAGTTCGGCCGGAGTGCGCGGTGCAGATGGATAGCTGGGTAAAAACGACAACACCATTTAGGTCGCTCCACAGTGAGTGGCAGAAAGACAGCTTGCTCTTTGCTCAGGGCAGAAGTATTTGTGTAGAGGAAAATGCCACATGGACAAGTGAAGCACGGCTCGTTTCCTGCCCTCGCTGGAATTGGGAGGAATTTGTTTTTGGATTCAACGTCAATTTGCCGGTGGCCCAGTGATGTAACCTCCCACAGTATTGCACTGAAAAGAATGATGCTTTGTATTTAAATATGTGCATCATTTGAATGAAATAAATGACATCAGCACAACTGTTGCAAAAAGGGGGGGTAGATGTATGGATATGGTTTTATAACTGGTTTTACACTTCTATAAGAATTTTGCTGTCTATCACATCTCTCAGATCTCTGATTAATTATACAGAACATTGTAGTGAACAACCATGAGTTACATCCTTTATATGAAACTTTTTTTTGAAGGCATCCTACAAAGGAGATTTATAACTCAAGCATAAGCAATAAACTTGACTGTAAATAGCACATGTCAGTGTTTGCAAGTTGTTTTTTTAAAGTGAGTGACACTGGCCCTTCTTCATTCAAGGTTGTGTACAGTCAAATATCATCAAAAAATGAACGTGTGCATATTTTACCAATAGTTTTGTTATCTATAAATTTCGTCTTTAGTGTATCTGTTCAATTTGAGTTTTTTTTAACAGCTTGAAAAATGCCTGATTTGCAGTTCATCATCGTTCAAACAGCTAGTGTTTTATGAAAAGGATGACACTACACAGTCACATCACTCCATCATCTGAAAAAAGCTAAATTGTATTAATTTCACATTTTTTATTATTATTATTATTTTTTTTTTATTCTTGCAATTGTAACATATTTAAACTCCCAATGGGGGGGGTCATTATACTGCTGAATCACTAGCTAAATATCTGCAGGATTTAGTGCATGCCTTTTGTAATTTATATGTATATGAGGAGAAATTGTTGAGCGTCCTTTGCAAATGGTGTGTAAATAAGGTACTGTGTGTCCATTCTGAGAATTTGGCACTGGCCCCTTAAACTCATAATGTGATGACTCACAGGTAATTACCCTGATGACAGATTTTCATCATAATGTGTTACCATTCATACACAATTTTCTGGTGACTGCTTTTTTGATGATGGTCATTTTCCATAACCGTGGCCAGAAGTGTGGCCATGCTTTACGCTAAGGTGGCCCTGGCCACTCTGGCCACCCCTTGGCTACGCGTCTGAGTCAGAGACAAAAGGCTCTAAAATTTTTGCTAACTTCGTTAATACAACATGGTACGTTTATCGCGCTTCTGCCCCCATCAGTTGAAAGGAAAAATTGCAACGCATCGGCTGGCGAGTCACATATAATGAGAAGCCACGGGCCAATTAAAATCTATCCTGAGGGCATTTGGTCCACAAGCAGGACTTTGGACACCCCTGTCTTACAAGAACACTTCATAATGTGTTCATAAATGTTTAAATCAACATTAATGAAGTATTAATATTTTACATGGCATATATATATATTTTTTTTTCATTTTTACATGTTGTATGAGCTTTCTTTTAAAGTCGGTATATACTCTAATATTTCCAGTGAAACTCCTCATATTAAAATGGCCTGTTTTTGACCTTTTATCTCAACGGAAGTGGAAGTAAAAAAAATAAAGTATGATGATTTTCTTTCCATATTTTCATGACATTACAATGATGTGAAACCCCACACCAAACTGCCTCCTACTGGCTGACAGAAGGTTATATGTGTAACATTCAACTCTAGTAGCCAACATATGTATATAGGGTTATGTGGTTTCTATAGTACCTCATTCAGTACTGTCTTTCCTACATCCCAGTTTGCTTAGTAAGTGCTGGGTCCTTCTGCTGATAATCCAGCCATTTTCTGAGCAGAGTCTCAGTTACCCCCTCTGTAAGAAAGCTTAAATGACCTGGCATTGTCCAGACAGCAGCACCTTTGATACTTCTCACACATTTAGCCCTTCAGGCTCTGCCCACAGTCGACTGGCCTTTAATTAAGGATCAGACAATAATTCAGTTTTATATTGCTATGGTTTGTGCTCAGAAAATCCTTTTTTTTCCCCAGATGACTTTTTGTGGACAGTTTGGTATAAGATGCCTTAATATGAGCTGTCAAGAAGATATGTAAACATGAACATGACATATTAGTGTTAAGTTAGTGCTAGCATGGACCTCTGAGGACGTATCATCACTTTATAGTTTGCTATTAGCATCTGGACAAGTCTTAGGTAAATACCATTTTTATCTATGAAGAAAATAGTACATGCCATTTTTTAAGAACTTTCTCCCAAAATATCACAATTGACTCCAGTCTGTTCTGATTTCTGACCTCACAGGAGTGTAATGTGGTGTTCTGGTATTGTAGCCCATCCACCTCAAGCTTTGATGTGTTGTTTTTAGAGTTGCTGTCAAGAGTGGTTGATTGATTTACTGAAGCTTTCCTTTTGACTTTATTGAAATAACTTTGCCTAAAATATTGAATTACTATGTTGAAATAATTACTTATTTTCCTCAGCATACTGATTTTCTATGTTAAAATAATGACTTAGTATCTTATAATGATTCAGATCCCCAAAATGATCACTTATTCATTTAATAACTTAATAATTTAATAACTCATTACTTCTACAGTATCTCAAAATATTGAGAAAAAAATCATTGAGATATTAAGTCAATACTTTGAGAAAGTAAGTCATCATTTTATGAAACTAAGTTATTATTCTGAGAAAATAAGTCATTTCGAGACACTTGGTCAATATAATAAGATAGATAAGTCATATTTTGAGACAGTTTGAATTTTGAGTCAATTTTTCAAGAAAGTAATTTTTCAGATGCTGTGTCAGAGTGAGTTATACTGTGTGTGTGTGTGTGTGTGTGTGTGTATATATATATATATATATATATATATATATGTGTATATATATATATATATATATACACTAAATAACGCTTATTAAGAGTTTTCAAATACAGCATCAAAATCTTCACCTGGGCAATTTTTAAAACTCTGTACAAGCAGATTTTGCATTTGGTTTGGTTGGCAAGAACAACGAATACTTTATTGTCATAAAGCATTAATTGCTTGTTGTAGGTTTCAGACTGCCACAGCAATACAGTACAAAGTGCTTACTGTCTTCGGAAGCTGTTTTTAAATTTGCAGTGTGAGAAGTGCTGGCATGTGCTAACTCTCTGAGTAGTGTTATCTGACAGTGAGTTGTTTTCAGGTGTCCTCTGGGCTCTGGTGTTTGTGCACTGAAATGATAATAATAAAAGACACAGCTCTTTCTTAGCGCCGACTTCTTTTGCAAGATGCATTTCCACTCAATATTTCTGGTGGAGAGAGTGATTTGACTGGGGAAAAAACGTGAAAAGTAAACATAATCACGCTGAAAGGTGACAGATACTCATTAAGACTAGCAAAAATTCCTCTAGCCTGACAGTCTATTCAGCGCTCTCTCTCTCTCTCATTCTTTCTTCCTCTCTCTCTCTCTCTCATTCTCTCTCTCTCTCTTCTCTCCCTCTCTCTCTTTCTCTCTCAGCATCTCTCTCTCTTTCTTCTCTCTCCTCTCTCTCCTCTCAGCCCCCCACCCTCCTCCCCCCACCTTTCTGTCTTCCTCCTACAGGTCGCAAGATTACAACAGGTTACTGTAGTGGAAGATGTAGAGGTTCTTTTTTTCCTGGTGAACACACACAAACAGTCTTTATCAGTCATCTCTCTCTGAGGCTTCTCTCTGGACCACACTGTGGCTTGAGGCTGCATTAGCATATAGCATAAGGCTTTGTTCACACTCGTTTTTGTAGTCAAATTATACTTTTTGCAATTGATTTCATGAAAAGTAGATATAGATAAAGATCTATAAGGGCATCTGCCCACAAACGTCCAATCAACAACCCATATTAATGCATTGCTGGTGGTTACTGCCCGTTAGTTTTCTCAGTCAAATTCTGAAGCTCTCTTTTTCTGCCTTCCTCTGCTGTCTGTTCACATTAGGAGGCAACAAATTTCTAATGTCGCTTCAAATGTGTCTCTTGGCTGTGTTTGAGGCTCCTCTTAATATAAAAATATCAATTTTATATGTTTTGGTGTTTTGTTTCAAATATGAAATACAGCTATAAGTTTACACGTTTTGTCCATAGTGTGATACAGTTAGAAATAGAAACAAAATTCTAGATGGAACAAAACGTTCAGGAGGAATTTGTTTAGTCCAATCGTTTACATTGTTGCTTCACCACATTGTACTTTATTTCCAAAAAGTTCAGAGAATCTCAATCTTCCTGTCGTTAAATCTTCGCCTCTCACTGGAAATAACTGGTTGCTCTGCTAATGTGAACGTATGGGTAGTCTTGCCTGCCATACATTATGTTGTAATGAGAACGTCTGGGGAAAACCATGAAAACTTTTAGTGCTAAATGCATCGGAAAGTAAGACGTATTAGGGTGAGTGCAAAATGTCCACACCAAAATTCAATAGCTCGTTAAAAGTTCAAAGCAGGGGGCGATGGTATTGGGCACTGGACAACAAGCCTGTTGCTAGTCCATGAATTTTGAGATAAGTTAGCATGCCTGAAAAGTCCAGCTGTGTCTGCCAATGCGTTGTTTACATTGAAATCAGTGGCAAGAGGTGCATTTTTGACCGATACCTAAATTCCCATGTGAACATGATCCAACTTATTTTATCTGCATTCCAACCTGTTTGATTTGTTGAAATTTTTCCCAGTGATATTTTAACACAAAGCCTACATCAAAATATGGCGTCGTCATGTGCATGGGTTATTTGTTCTGAATATAGTGTCAGACATTTTTATTTATATTGTTTTGAAATGGAAATTCACTGTGATGTTTATGCCGAAAGCTCTGTAATATGTTACTTTAATAATTTGTGTGACGTTCTTTCTATTCATTTTTCAGAAAAATGTGACGAGGCATTGGCCACATCGCTTCCCCATAGTGCATTCACCAGCTCATCAGTCTTCACCGGTGGCTATGCTCCTGGATATGCCAAACTGAACAGGAGAGGAGGTAAAAGCTTTGCAGCACATTAGTCCTTATTCATCAATGTTGTACAGAAAGGAGCACAGACTGGAGTATCTGGAACGACACACATATTACTCCACATCTGTTTTAAGAAAGTGTTGGACGACATTGACACTAGTGTTAAATTAAGGGCAGTTGATGAATCAGGTATAGGTGCATGGAAACAAACATTCATACTGTGGTTCATTATTTGCATATAATTTACAAGAGACACACACCAATTTACCATCATATGTTGTCACTGTCTAAAGAAAAACAAGTATCTTCAAAATTGTAGTTCTATTCAAGTTAATTTAAAGAGACTGTGTTCAAAGCAGTTTTGGAGCATTTCTATTGGTCCATTCATCATGAAATTTTCAGACAGTTTAAAGGACAGCTGCTGAGCTCAAAATACGCAGAAAGGAGATACTTGTACGTGTTTTGGGACAGTGACAGTCACCTCAAAGTAATGACACTATGCTAGCTTCAAACACCTCCACCCCTTGTTTAACCCTATAAAGGGTGTGTAGGCATTGTCATCAGAGGGCGATAACTTAGAGAGGGCGCTGCAGGTGCTGAACTGACCACAATAGTGATGTTATTTAGACAGTTTGAAGAGAAGCATTCACATTTCAACGTCATTTATTATTACGGAGCAGTTTATTTAAACGCTTTAGGGTGCAATTACTCTTTAATTTGCGTGTGAGCTGTTAACAGAAAATCATTTAGCAGGACCACAAACCGGTGGTTATGGAAAATCCGTCCAGTCATGGAATACTCTTTTAAGACACTCTTTTAAGGTGTGGCACTAAGATTGTCTAGGACTGATAAATATGCCCTGATTGCCTGATCTTCGAACGTTTGTCTTTTTACTACCCTATTAAATGACCAATCTTATGAGCTAATAAAACTTGCCAATTCACATTCACAAATTACATTTTGAAAACATTCAAACTGCATTAGCTACTATTTTAGTTGTATACACTGATGCCATTATGTGCAGTTATTTCTATTAGCATTGAATTTTATGTTTTTGTTGCAGTTAGTTATATATATATGATTGTACACATTGAAAGATGAAACTGTTCTTATTGAAGGATGAAATTGCTTAATAACAAAATTGAATTTTGCGCACACTCATTTTATGATCAGATTGAACGCACAAGAGCCACAAGGTTTTGGCCAAACAGAGATAGGAAAAAAAACAAGCAAAAAGTTGCTGGGAATATGCATAATGCAATGGTGTACTCACAACTGCTGAACTTCTGAAACTCCAACAAACTTCACTCATTACCTACATAATGATTACCTAGACAGACTGACCCACAGTCGTTGCGCAAATGACAGAGACTCATTTAATAGTGCTGAGCAGGTCTACTCAGAAATCCCACATGATTTTGACTAATTGAGAGAAATCCTTGCAGTCGATGTAACTGTAATTCATTTTCTGCTTTAAGGTATGTTAGCTTTTTGCCATGTTTATTATTTTTGTTTCACTCCCCTGAGCTTTTCATTGCACTGGTGATTTAATTAAACTAAGTCTTTGGCTCCTCATTCAACGCCTCTGTGGTTCAGGTTTGCCGTTTGCAACTGGGTCTGATTGATTTTGCGATAGAAATTAAGCTCAGGAGATAATACACAATGTCAAATAACACGTCGCTCATGCGTTCTCTGAAGCTAGATATACTGCGAGGGAAGAGTGGTTTCGCAAATGAGAGTTTTATGTATGAGAGCTTTACTCCACGGAGGCTTCCAGACCTTTTTAAAGCATGTAAACAACATCCAGCAGCATAATGAAGTCACTGTGCCGTTATGTGCACAATAAACCCTACTATTAATTGCTACAATAAGCATTTCTCAGATTGTACACGCTGAGAAGACTTTTTAATTAAGCGCAGTACATGTGTACACATTAAACTTAGCGTTATTATGGGACATGCTTGACCTATGTTGTGTTCAGGTGGCCCAAACTGACAAACTCCTTAGAATCTCAACAGCAGACAAGTAAAGCATGGCTTTGTGATTAGAATTCATTCAGCTTATTGTTTCAGCAGGGCTGTTTCTTGCTATGTCTTGACATAATAAATCACTTAGGGGCTCAGAGCCACTAGGGGGCGTCATATAGTATGTAATATTTATTCATTTAATTTGATTAATTGATTATTTATCTTATTTTTATATACTGTTTAGTTGATTTGGCATGTGAAGCATTGTAAAATCACTATCACAGTAAGCATTGAGTTGCTCATTACTATAATAAAATAGCTTGAAAGTACAATATAATAAAATGCACAAGTGTTTAGTAAATAATGTCATTTATTAATAATATTTGCAGCAGGTCTTCCAAGAAGCCATGTAGTTCTTTGACAGTAGACTGTGGTTGCCAAGCAACATAATGTTCAAACATTATTACATGAACAGCTGAATTGTTTTTAATAACATGGTGCATCAATATAGCATGTAATTTATATGTGTGGTCTTATAAAAAACTATCTCCAGTATTTTACAACGGCTTCAGAAGTGACTCCAGTCAGATCTTAGAACCAGAATTTTAGAATTAATAGCAATTATCTTAGCCTTTTATTAAACTTTAAAATTTAATGACATTAATTCTTTTTAGCATACAAAATATACAATATGAAGTGATTGGACTCAAGTACAATATCGCTTGAAAGGGAATTCTAGCTATTTTTCTAAATTTCAGCATAATTCAATAGTTATGCTGCAAACAAAGTCATTCAGAATGGTTTGATGTGAAATGTTCAGTTCTAGAGAAGCTTAATGAGTATTGTTCTCAGTAGTGGCGATAGGAACCAGACATCTGAAGCTCTAATATCTCCCTCACAGAAAGTCATTACATTAAATGGTTTTGAGTGCACTGTCAGATATGATAGTTTGAGAAGGTTTTGCCATAAAACTTACCCTTTTAAATATCCATTAAAACGGAGAGGTGCATACAGAGCATTGTCAGGCAAAGAAAACTTTTTTCTTTCATATTTACTGCTATTTTACTACCATTAACATTACATGTATAAACTCAGAAGACACATGTGGTTTCACTTGTAGTTTTGAATAGTAGACAAAATGGCTATAATTGTGTTGTAGACATAAAGACCCCTGGTTCCCATCACTAGCACTGTAAAGTTTCTCTACAGTGAACCGTTTGACATCAATTAATTCTGAATGACTTAAAATCTCAATGACTAATTTATGCAAAGTTTTCTTCTTTAAGGGTCATCAAATGTTCAAATACCAATTTGCAAGGTGCTAAAACATTCCAGTAACCAATAATATTAGCTGACATAAGTTTTTATTTTATTGTAGCGCTGGTGGCAGAGCTACCCTGAATTCTTTATGGTTTTGAATTTTACTAATGCATGTGTATATGTGCATGCATGCATTTGACATGTTTTTTGATTATTTGTATATATAATCAAAAAGACATGCTTAAATTGTTAGCGGTTTAAGATTTTATGGAGCTTGTCAGTTTAGATATGTGTACAGACAGATACATACACATACATACATGCAGTTGATATGTTTCTTGTTATTTTAACCATACACAACCATACACAACACGATGGTATTTTGTGTTCAGCCTGTATTATCAGATGTGTACTTTAAGAGAGGCCCATACTGGGCTCCCAAGGGTCACAGCCACTGAAGGTTTCTCCCTACTTTATTATTGCTGCTTATTGATTAAACTGGGAGTTACAGATGTTCTAATGAAAGAAAACCTCTAGAAACCCACAGCTGAACAGTGTACAGTACAGTATGTGTGTACTAAAGTGGCAGCTGCTTACATCTCGGTGCATCACAGGTGAATGTATAGCCTGCTTTCGTATTTGACCTTCCCTTAGTGCGGGCCAGCGAGCTTTGAGCAAATAATCAATGGGACATGCCCCCAGGCACAATGGCTCTGTCACACTACTGCACTGGAGGTCTACAGGGCCTGAGTGTGTGTTCATCAACCTTTCACATGGCCACATGGAGTCCCCTGTGTGTCATCGAGATGTGATTACTTTCACCGCTGTGGAAGGAAAGAAAAAAAAAATTAACCCCACAATGATGACATTCAATTGCGATTCTTGCATGAATGTATCATGTAATCTTGGACCAAGTCTAAAATGAGGCTCAGACTGACTCATAACATGACTCAGACTCTAGACCAGGGGTCTTGAAGTACGAGCCCGGGACAGCTTCATATGGCCATTCGCATATTTACAGTTTATTGTTCAAATCCAGCCCTCATTTTTTTTCTGCAGCTAAATATTTACATCTGACAGGTAGATTTGCTTCACCCACCAGAGACTGAGGGTAACCTAACATAAGCTTCATAAAATCAGCTTAAGCTGATGTTACTAAGCAAAAACCAGAGGAAGAGGAACCTTTGTACCATTGTAATTTAGCTGTTATTCCAAAGTAGACCAAATCCAACTAGAATTTGTTGACCTATGTATTATTTTTTGGTTAAGTAAAGAATTAAGTAAAGAATTTTAACTAATCTATCTATCTGTCTATCTGTCTATCTATCATTGTAGTTATGTTGATGTTGTGAAAATTAAAAAATAAATCATAATGTAGTTACTTGAACTTAAAAGATTAAGTTTCTGCAACAGTGTAATTTGTGTGATGTATACATGTACACTCTTAAAAAGATGGTTATTTAGGGTTTTTTCAGGAAAGACAATGGTTCTATATAGAACCATTAACACTCAAAAAAACTGCATGCTTGTAAAATTGTTCTTTAGATTGATGGAGGATGTGTTGTATGTGGTTCTATGTAGAATCTTTTTGAAAAGGGTTATATGTAGCACCAAAAATGGTTCTGCTATTGTTATGATGTCAACCTTGTAACAATAGAAGAACCCTTTTTGGTGCTGTATAGAACCATTTTCAGAAAGATTGTGTATAGAACCATCAACAGCGCATTCTCCATCAAACTGAACTCTTTAAGCAAATGGTTTTTTGAGTGTTCATGGTTCTATATAGAACCATTGCGTTTG